TTTGAAAACAACAAGGACATTACTTTGACAGGGTATTCAGACGCTGGTTATATGTCTGACCCTCATACTGCTAAATCGCAAACTGGTTATGTTTTTCTTTGTGGAGGTACAGCTATATCTTGGAGGTCCATTAAACAGACCTTAGTTGCTACCTCATCTAATCACTCGGAGATAATTGCTTTATATGAAATCGCACGCGAATGCGTATGGTTGAGATCACTAATACAGCATATCCATCGCTCATGCGGAACAATGAGCAATGTTGATTCCCCGACAATCCTATATGAGGACAATGCAGGATGTGTTGCACAAATGAGTAATGGGTACGTTAAAGGAGGTCTTACTAAACATATCGCTCTTAAATTCTTTTACCCACATAAACTCCAGAAGAGTGGTGAAATACTCATTGAAAAGGTTCGCTCTAGTGAAAATCTGGCAGATCTGTTCACTAAGTCCCTGCCTACATCCACTTTTGAGAAGTATGTTTATAAAATTGGGATGCGGATGCTAGGAAGACTGTTATCTTCAGGGGGAGCGATAAACTCGGTCTAGAAGACTTTTAAATCTTGAAGATGGTGCCTGGAAGGCTTATGGTTGTACTCTTTTTCCCTTGGCTAAGTTTTTTTCCCACTGGGTTTTCTTAGGCTAAGGTTTTTAACGAGGCAACCGATGCAACACATGATTGATACTACATGTACTCTTTTCCTCGACTTGGTTTTTCCCACAGGGTTTTTCTAGCGAGGTTTTTAACGAGGCATGAGTATAATTATTTAATGGCCAAGGGAGAGTGTTGTAAATATTTATATTTATGGCCATTAAACTTTTTAGACCTTTCAATTCCTTATCCTTTAATCATGTATTGATGTTGTGTACTTGAAAGGTTGTATATGATCACTATATAAGTGAGTGAAGGTGAATGAAAGAACACACTTACATGATTGTTATGCTATAGCTTGGTGTTATTCTTCTCCTTCCTTTTCCCCCTTTATGCACCTACAAACACACATACATATACATACGCAATTCGGGGTGTATAACCGTGCAAGCATCACGCGAGAACCAACGAGCGAATATGCCAAAACTTAACAAAAACAACTTTTTCGATCACCTTTTTGAGAAAGTCATTTTGCATGTGTAATCAGATATCAACTAATAGCTAATTTACCAAACATTTTTCTACAATCAGCTAATGTTATCGACTACTCAACCATACTAACCTAATCAGCTAACAGCTAACCGCTATTTACCAAACATCCCCATAATATACACATTTTTTTGGTATATTTGAGATAATATACAAGTTATCGCTATAGATAAATACACAATACATCTAACGATACTGATAATTTAAATCGCATGAGAAAATATAAAAAGAAAAAAATTAATTTAAAAATTTAAAAATGTAAAAGTTATTTCATCAATACATTAATTTTAATCTTATTTAAAACCATAATAATATTGACTACATTAAATATCAATAGAAAGAAAAATAAACACAAGTATAGTCAACTAGTCGTGTAAGAAATGGAATACGAATCATATTGAAAGCATGATACCATTTCAAAAAAAAAAAAAAAAAAAAAAAAAAAAAAAAAAAAAAAACTGGTCCTATTTTCAACTAAAATAAATGTAAATTGAGTCCTAAACCCATTTTAATTAAGTTAATTAGTTGAATGGATAACTATATTCAACAACTGACGACAAGTCAATATAGTCACCGATGCAAAAGGTCATGATATATTTTTAAAAAGTAACTATATTTTTATGAATTACTTTTTATAAAAAGAAATTGATTGAAGTTATTTATAATTCAATTTTTAATAATATTTATATTAATATTAAATAATATTCATCACATAATTAATGTGTTATGATTTTATTCTTTTAAAAGGCTAAACCTCAACTCGACCCGACTGGTAAATCAACTGAACATGAATTACAGAGGCTAGACTTTTGCTCACTGCGCACAAGGAACCCCCTAACTTTAAGAGGTAGCTCCCATACTGCCGCTGGTGAGACTCGACCCCGGGTTATTCTTCTAAACTATGATTTTATTGATCCATATTATGTCGTGATTTTAACATGGAAATTAGCACTTTTTCTTTTTGTAATAAATAACAATCAACTAATAACACTTCTTCTTTTTGCATGTGTGTGTGTATATATATATATATATATATATATATATATATATATATATATATATATATATATATGTGTTTAAGTTCCAGTGCGGTTGTGCGGGTGATTAATGTGCGTGAGTTTTGTACTTAATGTGCGTGAGGGGTTTGCTTAATGTGCGTGAGTGTATAGTGCTTAATGTGCGTGAGTTTTGTACTTAAGGTGCGTGAGTCTTGTGCCTAAGGTGCGTGAGTTGTGTGCTTAATGTGCGTGAGTGTGTACTTTGATGTGAGTTGTTGTTAAAACTTTAAAGTGCATGAGTTTTGTGTTTAAGTTGCGTGAGTCTTGTGTTTAAGGTGTGTGAGTCTTGTATTTAAGGTGCGTTAGTTTTGTACTTAATGTGCGTGAGAGTGTACTTAATGTGAGTTGTTGTTAAAACTTAAGATTCGTGTGTTTTTGTGCTTAAGGTGCGTGAGTTTTGTGCTTAAGGTGCGTGAGGGTTGTGCTTAAGATGCGTAAGTTTTGTGCATAAGATGCGTGAGTTTGTATTCTGAATGTATTTTGTTTTTGTGTTTAACGTGCGTTTGTTGTGTACTTAAAGTGCGCCAGTGTAATGTTTAATGTGAGTCCACCTGCACCACCGCACGGGAAGCACCACCTGCACAATAGTCATTTTGGAGGAACATTAGAAAATAGAAAGTATGACACATTTATGTAAGGTAGAAGTCATGAGGTAGAACTAGTCAGCTCTCAGAGTGAGGTTTTATTTAGTTTATTTTGATGTATAAAATAATGAAACCTGAAATTTTAAAATTTAATTCCCAATAGATTAATTAGTACTTAGTAGTAGCAAATCAGGGTGTTGAGGAAACTTGGTATAGGGCTGAGCTTTGCTATAAATAGAGCAAAAAATAGTCATTATTCTCACCACTCCATCTCCTAAAACAAATTCATATATACTATAAGAATTCTTGTCTTAAGCTGTTACGACATTTTCATGGCTTCCAAAACCTTGTCAGCTGTTCTTCTTCTCTTAATGATTCAATTCTGTAAGTCTATTCTCATTTATAAATTCTGTAAGAACTTTTTAAAATGATAGAAAGTTTTGATAATATTATTTTTAAATCAAGAAATTATGATTATAATTTACAGATTACTAAAATAATAAAATAAAATAAAACAAAGTTTTCCATCACAATTTTTGTATGATCATATTTTTGCAGCATATAATTATTCATAATTTTTTTAAAAATAATGTATACAATAATTATTACAGGTATTTCACCTGGGAGTGAAGCAGAAAAACACAAACTTTTCCCGCAAATTCCATGCAAAAGTAACTGGGATTGCCGTATAGACCCAGATTGCCACACCTGTAACTTTCGACGTGGCATATGTTGTTGGGCTGCTGATGATGAACCAGACTTTCAAACCCCAAGGAAGATTCTCCACTTTAATTAATACTGCCTAAATTTCATATATCCAAAAATTATAAATAATTTTTTAAAATAATGAACTCTAGAAATAAATAAATAAATAAATAAATCCAGATGACTTTCTGGTAAATTTTATAAATTCTATCGTTTTTTTTTTTTAATTTAAAAAACTTAAGGATTTTAAGCCTATTTCTAGTGAAATAAAAATTTTCTTTGTAACACAAATAGTATTTTACGGGTGTACTGTTGTTATTATTATTATTATTATTATTATTACAATAATCCATGATTATATGGCTACATTTTCCCCATAATCTTCACATATTGTATGTATCAAACTTGTTTGTCTAAAGATCATTGGAGATATCTATTGATTTAAAAAAAAACATATATTATTGTACCATATATAAACGAAAGGGTGACCGACGTAATAATTTTTCTCATTAAAACAATATTCATGGATCAAAATTGGTTCTAAAGCAATAGTCGTCGATGAAAATTGGTAGAAATTAAACATGTGGACCAAAATTGTCATTTTGCTAATACTCATGGGACCAAAATTATTTTTCATGCACTTAATATGAAACTTATATATATATATATATATATATATATATATATATATATATATATATATATATATATATATATATATATATATATATATATATATATATATATATATGAGAACTCATACTTAGGTGAGGACGTGAAGACTAATATTGTGCGTTCGTAATCCTTGGCCAAATTAGTTTCCTATTTTCTTGGATCATAACTGTTGCAATTTGAAGCCGTGATTTCTTTATCATTGATTGAGTATTCACCCATGCAAAGTGATCAGTGTTTTTTATTTTTTTTCCCTCGTTCTTTTGAGTATAATATTGCCTATATTTGGATGATCGTGTATATGTACAATTGCCTGGGTAGTGCGATTGTGCATTCGTGTTGGTTGTGCAACCTAGTGTTGTAAGTTGTGCACCGTAGGCTGGTGAGATATGCATTAGTGCACATAGTTCAGTGCATCGTAGGACATTGGGATTCCACTGTAGAATTTTTTTTGGTGGTGTTTGAATGCACAACTATAGAGTTATCAATGCACAACATTCAGTATAGAAATACACATTTTAATAAGATTGATTTACCCCTAAATTTATATTTTTAATATTTTAAAGGAATTTATTTTCTTAATTTGTGTGTTTTATTCCTTTTATCACACATATATGTTAATTACTTTATTTATTTATTTATAATTAATTATTTGTTTATTTAGATTCTAATTCTTATTTACTATGAAACAAATTAAAGAGACTATATTTACTAAAACTTATTACAATTACTAAGTATTTTATTCTAATTACAGTGTATTCTTTAAGATATTTTAATCTTCATTTATTTTAATTATAATATATTTCTTTTATTTATTTGTTGCATTATATGTGTTTGGTTCGAATGTTTGATTAATGGCACTTGATTTAATATATCTATTTACAATTCAATTTTATACTATTTAAATTAGTATTAATTATAAATAAAATTTATATGTTTAAAAGTTTTATTGAACATAGAAAATCATATTTATAAATTATTAAAATTTTAAAATCGAAAAATTCATTCATTCAACTAATAAATATTCAATATCACATGTAAAAATGGATTACAAAGCGTAATAATAAAGATTATTATACTAGTCATATCAATAAAAAAAAAAAAAGTTTTAAAGAAGAAGAAGACACCCAAGTACTAATCGTGGAAGAATTGAATATGAATCATGTTGAAAGCATGATACCAATTCAAAAAAAAAAAAAAAAAAAAAAAAAAAAAGAAGAGAGAGTTGAGTCCTGTTTTGAAATGAATTAAATTTAAATGTAGTAACTCACTTTGATTGAATTACGTAGAGAACTTAATTTTGAATTACTAAAAAATTTAATGGTAATTATTTGATGATGTATACTTGATAAATCTTGCGTAACTCTATTTTTTTGTTTAAAAAATATTTTCTAAAATATTATTACATATATGATATACCATCAATTTCATTCATATTTTATGATTCTTGTCATCCCGGTAACATATCATTAATGGTGGTAGTGATACGTTTTTCGTTTTTTTTTCTTCATCTAATTAGTAATAAACATGTTATAAGAGTACCTGTTTTAAAAGATGATATAGTTCTATTTTCGCTCCTAATAAATTAATAAATGCAATGTAAACCTCTCTTTATTATTTTTCTCTAATAAACGTTAGTTCGGGATAAGATCAAACTAACTATTAAAATGCAATTGAGTCATTGAACTTTAAAAAGTTTTAAATATACACTTCAACTTTGAAAAAAATGCCATCAAACTTGAATGCCAAACTCATATATTCATTTTATTCATGGTACATGTAAAACACCAACTCATCATCAAACCAACATTCTCTTGAAAAAGGGAAATTATGCACTTGAAAAATGAAACTGTGCATTCGAAGAGGGAAAATTATACACTCAAAGTTACAAATATAATCAAGAAATAGACATGAACTTCACTTGAGAGCGATTCCAGAAAATTTCGAGTAAAATCACACTTTCAATGCAACATAACACTGGATTTTTTAATTTACAGCATATGATTTATTTATTAATTATTACTATACAAAATCAGTCCATATATTAATTCTTTAGACATCACCAAGAGTAATTACAAGATCATATGTCATCTAATTGAGCTACAAATTTACATTTGTATTGTGAGCCAATTGGTTCCAAACACGACAGTTATACCATGGACCCGCACCTTGCAAGGTGGACCCTGATCTAAAATTCACAATTTACATACTAAATGTTCACAATTCAAATTGGGCATGGCCTCCCAGTTCAAGCAAACTTCCACATACCAGTATGCTCCATAAAGTTGGCAAAGATCGGAGAGGATGCAAAGACAGGCACTGAACAGAAGAAAAAAGTAACATGTTATCATAGCCAAATGGTGCACAAGTTCATAACTTGCCATTTTGCAATTCATTTTCCTTGTTTTTTGGGTATTCCCAGGTTTTCCACAGTCGAACACAGTGACTAATCCCCTCGCTGAATAGTAGGCATGTAAAAATAGGCAAGTTGGCCCTTACTACTTTTTTTTCCAGATGTTCGGCTTGCTTTTCAGCAAATGTGCTCGGATTGCTTCATCTGGCTCTCATCCATGACTCTTGGGACCTTTTGCCGATTTCTTAGCTCCACACGTTTGTTGAGGCCATGTAATATCATGCATGAATTCCCCGCACTTCTAGTTCTCTTCACTCCCGGCTCATCCCTGAAACATTTTACCCTTAGTCATACTTCTAGTAATACGCCCCTCGCTTCTCTCAAATACTTTAGGCGATTGCCTATCCGGCTTCTTCTTGACTTTATCTTTCCTTTGTCGACTTGAAACCCCACTTGAAGCTCTTGGGTTCTTATAACCCGAAATTCCACTATTTTTAGATGCAACACTGCCATTTTGAGGTGGTATCTCAGCGGGAAGATCTTTACTAGTCATGCAGCTTTCTGAATCATAAAGGCCGGGCTCACAGAAATCCCGGAGAAAAGTTGCTGGCAGGTCATCAAATGAAATAAAATCAGAGTTACTTATTCCTTCAGCTGATGACAGTTTCGATTCATCAAACGAAATCATTGGTAAAGCATATCGGTTTGTTGACTGTTCACGGGGTTGACCAGCAATTTCCTCCCAGTAATATGGAAATCCAACACAAAAATGGTTGCAGATCTGTTCCAATCAATACATGCTAAAAATATTATACTCCCTTTCTTCAAACAGAGAAAAACTCCAAAGAAAATTTATTGAACTGGATTTTTAAACAAGCTAGAAGCATGAACAACATGGATAAAGAAAGCACTTATGAAAGGGCTGAAAAGAGGAAAAGTAGCAAAAATAGAGCAATAGAAGGGCATGAACACACCTCAAATGGGAAGCCATTTTGGATTGTGCGAGACCGATTGATGCAACCACTAACTACAATAACAATGCCATCTACTGCCTCAAGCGTAACTGTATCGATCCTCTTAGAAATTGCAGCAGAGTGGAATATTCTTGCATCTTGGCTCCTGATACAAAACCAAATATACAAGTGCATAAGTAAAACAAGTTCTTGCATCATAGAACTCTAAGTACATATTCGCACTCATATAAATATTGCACATTGTGATCTACATCCTATGTAATTTTTCCAGTCCTTTCCTTTTCAGCAAGTCCCCATGTCTTCTTAACTTACAACAAAGGAGGGGGTACATGCCCGACATGCATACACTCAATTTTTGGAGTTCTTTATGTACATTTAAGGAACCTTGTGAAACATCATACTCGACACTTGAGTTCTTTTATGGATTACATATCCTAGCATTTCAAACTTAATTGTCACACTAGAAAGGCACTTGAGTTCAAGTATCTCTCAACCCTGCTCAATCGTTCTTACAAACAATAATGGGGAAAAGATAATCATGAAATCAATGGTATAACAATGTGAATCATGTGGTTCCAAGTATTCGCTTTTCAGATGGAACCAGACAGGAAGTAAAACAATAATGAGAATTTTATATAGGTAATTAGAAACAGCCAATTCAGAACTTTTAACCAACAGATGGTGGGCAAAAACCTCTACCAAAACTGTATGACCAAAATCATACATTCTTCATTTCTTCAGCAGAACCAGTGAATACTGACAGAAACACATATCCAGTAAACTGTTCACAATTTTCTGATTATGTAGAGAATACTCGGAACTAGAATACTAGATTACTAGCACAAACACTGCTAGCAGCAGTTCATAAAAACAACACAGAAAGAAAGAAAAATAAAAAATAAAAAATCTACTAAGCAGAGAGACAAGAAGAGTAGTACTCTCTAAAAGTGAAGCCCGCTACTCCTATTCTCTCGGATTTGGAATTCGTTGGGAATTTGATGAGCCACCAGTCACACAAATACACCTGCAAATGCGTGCTTGTGAGAAAGAATCTTTGTGTGTATACTCTCACGCTCAAACATTAAGAAATGCATACTTCTTTGAGGAAGGAGGAACTAATCGCGGTGAAGTTTTGGCGTGATTGATTTGGAACAGCTCTGAATTTCTCCATCTGTGAGAAAATGATTATGAAATCTAGGGTTCTTCCACAGACACGTTAGTTTATACTTTATACATTGTATCATATTATGTAATTAATTGTATCTTGTAAAGATTGTTTTGAGAAATAATTTTTTTCATAATTTCTAGATAAAAATTATAGTATATCACTTAAAAAATCGAGACAAAAAAAAAATATAAATTAACTCAATCTGTCAATCATAAGTGCAAGAATTACAATTTTTTTCCCTGGCTTAGCGTAGTTGGTTTGTCAGCAGGGATGGCAACAGAGCGGGGCGGGGAGTGGGGTCCTCATCCCCGAACTAGGTCCTCCCGGCCCATTCCCCGACGGGGATTTGAAATTTCCCCCATCCCCGTCCCCTCGGGGATTTTTTCAGGGATGGGCATTCCCCACCCCCTTTTTTTATAAAATGAAATTAGATTACAGTAGAAACAATTGATAACCAAAGAAACTGAATGGCAAAGTATGTACTATGCAGCACAATTAACCAAACTCAGAGGATATTCCTTCAGTTGAAGTTGGTTGGGCAAAGAAATTTTTTTTTTATATTAAACTGATAAAATAATAATAATAATAATAATAATTTCTTCATCCATCTAACTACTAAATTTTAAATTCCAAAATTTGTCAAAGCTTTACCCAGTCAAATCTTCTCTTCATTACATTCAGATGGGAACCAAGAACCCAGTTACTATTGCTCAAACTGGTTTTGCATTCTAAAGAGCCAGTATTAACCAATAAAAAATTTTCCCAGCAAAATAATGATTTCAGCAAAGGATAACACTCTCACAGCCACAAAATCAAGCACATAATGAACCAAAAAGAATTGTGAAAATGTAAAATTAAAGAAACTGAAAAGCAGATATGAGAGAAATTGATAAGGGGATAGCCATTACTTGTGGAGACGAAGAAGAGATAAGCGGAGCAGAGATAGCCGAGGACGGCAAGTGGTGACGAAGATTCAACGAAGCAGAGAGCCAGAGATGCCCAGACGATGCGACGATGAAGCAGAGATGGGCGGACACCGTGGACGGCCGACGGCGAGGCTGGAGATGGCGGGCGGCAACGGCGAGAGGAGACCGGCGACTATGCGAGAATGAAAGGGTTTGAGAGTCTGAGATTTAGTACTCCGTATTGACTTTTGACTATTTTATATTTTTATATATAAATATTATATAATTCTCAAATATATATATATATATATATATATATATATATATATATATATATATATATATATATATATATATATGAGTTAATACCCAAAATAGTCTCTCGACTATGTCGTAATTACCAATTTGGTCCTCGACTATCATTCTTACCCAATTAAGTCCTCAACTATACAATTTTTACCTAATTTAGTCCTTTGTCAATTTGACTGTTTGTTGACTGTCAAAAGTGGAAATAAAGTTGTAATTTTATAAGTTTTCTCCTTCCTCCTCATTTAGCAGCGCCAAATCATGTAGCAATAAGCTCCGGTTGGGTTCTAAACCTGTCAGTATCGAAGTAGTGGTTATGCATCGGATAGCCCATGAATTTGATTTCCAACGATTTTTTGACGATCGAAATCTGATCAGAGTGTATTGCTGCATGGCTTGGCGCTGCTAAATGGAGAGGAAGGAGAAATCTTGTAAAATTATAATTTTATCCCAATTTTTGACAGTCAACAAACAATCAAATTAATACAGAGGACTAAATTGGGTAAGAATTGTATAGTTGAGGACTAAATTGGGTAAGAATTGTATAGTTGAGGACTTAATTGAGTAAAACTTACATAATTGAGGACTTAATTGGGTAAGAATGATAGTTGAGGACCAAATTGATAATTATGGCATAGTCGAGGGACCATTTTGGGTATTAACTCTCTCTCTCTCTCTCTCTCTCTATATATATATATATATATATATATATATATATATATATATATATATATATATATATATATATATATATATATATATATATATATATGGGAAATCGGGGACGGGACGGGGCAAGGATGTCCTCCCCGTCCTTGGCTGGAATGAGAAAATTCTTTTCATTTTCACCCCATTTTCTAAAAAAAAATTCCCGAATCCCCCATCTATGCGAGAATCAATTTTTTATGTATCGAGTTGAATTGTCATCCCTAATCTATAAATATAAATATACAATATATACATCAAATACAAATGTTCAATATAACTACAAAACTATAACAGGGCATTTGGTTGGAGAGGGGAAATTACGTGGGAAAGGAATTGCAATTTCATGGGAGATGAATTACTAGGAATAAAGTGAGAATTTAAATTCTAGTGTTTAGATTATAGGAATAGAATTACAGAAAATTTCAATTTCAATGTTTGGTATACATGGGAATTGAAAGGGAATAAATAGTATAAAGTCAAAAATGTTCATTGTTATTGTTAGACATTAATTTTAGGTAAAAAAAAAAAAAAAACTTTTGACTCATCACTATCTTTTTTTCTTCTTAAAATCTCAGGAATTAAGGGGGCGTTTGGTTCAGGTTATATAACATAACCAAGGGAATGTGACATTCCAAAGCTCACATTCCGGTGTTTGGTTCATATTATCTTAGGGAATCTAACATTCCCAAGGAATGTCACATTCCCTCCACATAGGATTTTGAAGGGAATGTGATTCCCTTCAAAATCTTAGGTAATGAAAGATAACCTTGGTTATGTTAGTTTATTATATATATATATATATATAAGAACGCTCATATGCGGCGGGGTCTTACGGTGCGGCGGTGCGGTCAAATTCCAGAATACACCAACAGTGTTAATAATATGCACCAACAGTGTAATAAAAACACACCCCAATGAAATGTAATAAAACATCACAAAATACACCACAGACTCAAAAAAACACACCATATAACTCACCACCCTCAATGGTGTATTTCCGAACAGTGTATGGTGTTTTTACTCACACCTAATGGTGTGTGTTTGGTGATGCAGGGCTCTGTTTACTCTGTTTTGTGTGGTGTATTTCCTAACGTTGATGGTGCATATTTGGTGAACTATTGGTGTTGCCGCACCGTAAGAAATAACCGCACCGTAAGACACTGCCGCACCTGAACCTGCCTCTATATATATATATATATATATATATATATATATATATATATATATATATATATATATATATATATATATATATATATATATATATATATATATATATGTATGTATGTATGTATGTATATATATATATATAATTATTTTTGTAATTATATATATTTTTTATTTTTATTATGTTATGTTAGCATATAAAATAATTTTGTTTCTCAAGTTCAAGATTTTAGTTAATATTTTAAAATCATGTAATTATATATGATATCGTTATCTTATTTATTTATTTTAATTTTTAAATTTATTAAAATATATGAAAATATGTTAAGGATATTATAGTGTGTATAAAAGATAACCCTAAACCAAACATCATTAAATTCCCTTCAACAAAACGCTCTGTAAAGAACAAGATGTATTGTCAATTTTTCATAATATAATACATCTAATAATATCTACCTATATTTATTTGAAACATTAAATTTGTTACCTTTTCTAATTTATCTTTAAAAATAAAACTTTTATAGGTGAGTTTCAATCCACCTCTAATAAATAAATAAATAAATACAACTTATTCATTTTTTTTTTCCTTTCTCTAATCTCTAATCTCTAATCTCTATATAATAATATATACTAAAATATAAAATTTAATAAGAGCCAATAATGTTAGTACTTAATTGTAATGAAAATTGTGTTGATAATATAAGTTGTATTAAGTGTTTGTTTTTTTGTGTTATTTGTATTGTTTTCTTACACTTTCTTTTCAATTTACACTTCACGTTTTCTATTTTGACATTTATTTTAACATTAGTGCTTAACTGAAATTAAGAATTTGTCAGTGGAATAAGTAACATTAAATCCTTTTCTTTAGTGATTTTTTATGTTGTACATTTATACTTTCTTAATAAGTTTATCCTCAATATTTTTTCTTAGAATAAGGGTTAAATAAACCCTTCAACTATAGGCCAAAGTGCAATTAGCTCCTTAAACTAATAAAAGCTCCAATTAGACACTTAATCTTTTCACTTGTATGCAATTAGGTTAATTAGCAAGTTACATTTAAGTTATAAGTATTTTTTTTTTTACTTTTAAAAAATAATTAAAATAAAAAAAAAATTAATTAAAACAATTATTAAAAAAAACAAACAAACAAACATGCCACTGCAGCTTCTCCGTCCAACTATGGCTTATCTGTCCAGTTGACGGAGGAGCCGGCCAGTTGATGGAGAAACCGGCAATGGCTTCTCCGTCCAACTGGACAGAGTTGTGTGTGCGTGTGTGTAAATTTTCAATTTTACCTGCTATTACGTTATGTGTTTACCTGTAAATTGAGCTAATTGAACACATTTAAAAAGTTATAGACTTAATTGCATACAAATAAAAAGATTAAGGGCCTAATTGGATCTGTTATTATTTCATGGGCCTAATTGCACTTTGGCTTATAGTTGGAGGGCCTATTTGACCCTTATCCGCAATTTATATCGTGCACCAGGGTGCGCATTGCATTGTGCGCCCTGGTGCAAAACAACGTTTTGATTATTATTTTTTATTATTATTTCTTTTGCGGAATTCCACTTTTCCGTGTTGATTGTTAAATTTCTTTAAAAAAAAATTTTATGTTTCAAAAATGCATATAATTGTATAAGAAAATACACATACTTTTTTTGAAACATAAATAAAAGCCAAGGGCAGACACTCTTAAACATGAGTTTGTTTTTGAAAAGACCCATTTTTAATTATGCTCAAATGTATGTAGTCGTCTCAAGAGTTAGTAATCTTAGGGGATTAAAAAATTTGATTTGTTTTTAAAAAGACCGATTTTTAGTTATGGTCAAATGTACGTAGCAGTATCAAAAGTTAGTAATCTTAGGGGATTAATTTGATTTGTGGAAAAAATGTACAATTTTTGAAGTACGACTAAAAATGTCGTCTACAAAGAAATTTTCAATAATGTGTAATAAAATTGCAATGTTTATCGTTATGAAATTCCTAGTTCTTAATATATTCTATTTCTTTGTTATTATATTATACCGTAAATTATATAGAAGAGACAGTAACATTAAAAAAAAAATATTATACCGTAAATTATATATATAATTTATATGACCGTGCATCGCACGAGCACAAATACAAGTATCACTAATAAACTTTACTTTCTTCCAAATAAATTCCGAGTGTTGACAGAAAAATAAAATATTTTAAAAAGTAAACGTTAATTAGCAGTAAAGATTTCTATCACAATTTTTTTATTATCTATTTTTTTTTTGAAAACATTTCTATCACAAAATTGATTAAAAAGAAAAGAAAAATATTACTCCGTATAATCTATTTTTCTAGGGTTTCTACTGTAAATCTATAAATGCTGTCATCAGATTCTCGCGCCCATTTTTACTTTTTTTTCTTTTTTACCAGAGGGAATGTTAGGTTTGATAGTGGTTAATGGAATAGAATTTTGGGCTGTGAAAAATGTT